TCTTCTCGTCAAAGGCATCTTGAACACCTGCACTATCTGGGATTCCATTGGACCACACCGTAAGCTTATGGCTGGATTCGACTTGCTCATCCTGTGTGCGACGAGGGACGTTATCTGAAGCCGCAACCTCGGATCTTGCCCTCCGTTGTTGCTGAACCTCATTCGGCTGAGCCTCATTGGGTCGTGCCCCATTAAGTGGAGCCCCATCAGGCGGAAGTCCAGTAATCGGAGGAATATTCTGACTAGGGGGTGCTGCTGTGTCACCCACTGGTGGCGGTGGTGCCAACTGAGCCAGCGCCGTTTACAGAGTGTTATTCTGCTGTTAAAGCAAGGCGATCTGAGCCACGCTTGCTTCGTTTGCCTGACGAAGTACGTCAAACTGGTGTAGAAACTCTTCACGCATTTTCTGCATCAACTCCGTCTGTTGATCCATTGAAGATCCTCCATTCGACATTCTGGATGGTAGCTGCAGGATTCACTTGTGAAACAAAAAACAAGAGTGGGAATATATTTGCACACGTTTCCCACAGACGGCGCCAAAGTGTAGGTGCAAAATTTCGCCCAATCAATAATGATTAGGAGAAATAACACAACTCACTCAATAAACAATAAAAATAAACAAGAACAGTATCTAAAGAAGCGTAGAATTGCTTGATCCTTTTATTGGAGGTCTGGGCCTCTATTTATACACAAAAGATTGGTTGAATTATGGTAGAACTCGCATTGCTTGTCCTCCAATTCTTTCCCTACAGAAATTCTTTACAAATAGAGCTCCTTCCTTTGTATAATTTTCCTTGTGTAGTAGTTTCTTTCTTTGCTATATCCTTCTTCTAATAGGACCAATTTCCTTACAATGGATTTGGGCTATAAGTAACCTGATCCATGTGACATTGTTAACGGGCTGGATCTCTTGTTTCGGGCTTGAGCAATGCTATAGAGATCAATTATCTGCGACCTTAGGTTAGTGTCTTATGACGTTGGGCTGTCAACGAGCTTGAACTGGGCTTTGAGCAGGATGGGCCTCTGACATTTGTGATGGGTATTTACATTGCGATGACGTGTACAGTTCTCATTGGAGGGAGATTTTTCCCTCCACAGTGTGGGAATCATTTTTCTTTGTACAAAATAATAAAGCTCAATCCAAGATGTTTTTTCCTTTTACCTAGATGTTCATAATTAATGTTCATGATACTTATACATAACTAAAACTGTGCAGTAGAGAAATTATTACGTCCTGGAATTTTCAAAAAATAATATAATATTCATAAGAACCTAATTACCTAATTACTTAATGAGAGAGAATAATATCTTTTTTATCCAAAAAAAATCAGTAGGGGCAAGACTGTATAATGGAGTATTTTCAAAAATTTAGTGGGGGAATTTTTTTAATTTTAATAAAATATATAGATAATAATACAAATAAAATAAAAAATTCGGCCCCACTGGGCCTATGCTAGGTCCATGGTTGTCCGGACCAATCAAGTGCTGACACACAAGTAAAAAAAATTAAATAAAATCAATACAAAACTCACATTTGTTTAAGTATCCCAATGTGATTAGCCGAGATCAATGTACATGCTTCGGATGGGAGAGTATGGCACATTCAAAACAAACAAAGTAATACGGTGATTTATATTTGACCAAATCATTCTACAAAACATAACAGACAAAACAGATGACCTTACTACCAGGGGCGGAGCCCCGGGGGCACGTGCCCCTTAGCCTGGTCTCGCTTACTATAATTTAGGCGGCAAAATAACCCGAGCCCAGCCCGAAATTTTGTAGGTTTAGGCAATGTTTTTCTAATTTTGGTTTGAGCCTAGGTTATATATTTTGAACCCGAATTCAATTCAGGCAAGCCTTAGGTTGATATGGTTGAAGCCCGAAGCCCAACCCGAGACTGAAAATATTATATATATTTATAATTATACTTAAGTCACAAGAGTGTAGTAACCAAGTTAGTATTGTACTTGGAATTTATGCTTAAGGTTTCAAGTTCAAGTCATGGGTGTAGTATTAATTGACTTATTTTTTGCATACAAATTATGTATGGGTTGGGCTTGGGTTGAAAATTTTTTATATGGGCCTAACCCGAGATGAGTACCAAGCTCGCCCTAGTCCTAACTATAATATATATACTAAATTTATATATTTTTACATGCATATATGAAAAAATTCATATAATGCCCCCCCTAAAATTTTTATTTTTTAAAATTATCTCTTAAATTTTGTATTTCTTCTCTTTTTTCTCTTTAAATATGTTTAATTTCCTTTAAAACAAGTCAAATTTTTCTTTTTGAATCAAATTCCAATTTTTTTTTCCTTTCAAAATTCTCTCATTTTTCTTTCCTTTTTAAATTTTTTGTTAACCATTTATTTTTCTTAAATTACTCATTGATTGACTTATTATTTTGAGTAATTTTTCTTCTCTGTCTCTTAATTTATAGAATCTATATTTATTATTGTGATTATTAATTTTTTTTTTTCTTTTTTACACTATGTCCCCCCTGAAATTTAATTTATGGCTCCCCTCTGCCTACCACCTTAAAAAATCAACTGGCATCACATTACACACATATTTAATACAATACAGTTGGTCTCATCTTCATGGAGGTGGGGTAGATATGCAAGATCAAATTTCCTTCTTGCGTTTTCTACTGTTCTCTTTGATTTTTACCACTATTTTTGAATTTCACAGCCAAATGGTGAAATTTCACTTACAATAAATAGTAGCAAATTTTAAACATGTGAAATTGCATCATTATAGTAATAAAATTAAGGGTAAAGTACAAAAAATCCCCCTCAACTTGTAGCCATTTTCAGTAAACCCCTTTATTTATTTTTTTACCAAAGAACCTCCCTTGACTTTTAGCATTTTTCCAATAAATTCTTCTTATCTAATTTTTTACCAAAGAATCCCCTCAACTATCTGAGAAAGGTAAAATAATTGATATTTGGACCAAAATACTCTTTTATTTAAATATTAATTCTCCCTAAGTTCAAAAATTTATATCTCACAAACTAAAAATTGTAAATAATATATGCACAGAAAGTTTATGAAATAAGGATTCTATAAATATAATATTTGTGCAACAAAACTTCATCAGAGAGAAATAGGCAATCAATTTACTCCAACAATCTTATTTTATTTTTAATACTCGAGATATTTGTAAGAAAATTTTTAGAATTATTCATTTACACATGGAGCATAATATATATAAAAAATTTAGCATCAACAGGGTTCGATTTCATGATATATCATATTTTGCATTAAAGTATTTTCATTCTTTTATAACCTTAAAAAATCAAGATAATATTCGGTCTCTATTGGGGCTTATTATTATTTTTTTTTATATGTTATGCTCCATATGAAAACAAATAATTATGAAAATTTTCTTGCAAATAATTCAAGTATTTTTTTAAAAATAAAATAAAATAAGATTATTGCAGTAGATTTTTAGATTGTATATATTTCTTTGGTTATGAAGTTTTGTTAAACAAATCTTATATTTCTGAAATTCTTGTTTTATAAGCTTTTCGTGTATATATTATTTGTAATATTTGGATGTACAATTTTATTCTTTTAGATAGTTGAAGGGGTTCTTTGATAATAAAAAAAAATAGATTAAAAATTTATTAAAAAATACTGATAAAAAAAATTAAACAAAGGGTGCACCGAAAAGAATTACAAATCTAGGGATTTCAGTGCTTTGCCTTAAAGTTAATAATTGATAGTGATAAAATTTCCTACAAAACTGCGACTGAATTTTTTTCTTTTTATTTTTATCCAGATACATAACAGCAATGGTGAAACAGTCACATCACATGTATTGCTTGACCGGTCTCAACCATTTAACAGTATGCTTATCTGATTATACAATAGTCAAATAAATTTTGGTATCAATATTTTTATTGGTGATAGCCATCAATGTTAAATTGTTAATCAGACACAGAATCAACCATGTAACGTTTGCTTAGTCGAATATATATATTCTCTATAAATATTTGAAGGGTAAAGTATCTGGTTATAGAATGGTCGGTGAGTGGGGGGGTTGGGACTTTTATCAATTTTCATATTTTAATGGTCAAATCATACACTTGCTCCATCTTTGACGGGTCTGTATTGGTAGGTAACAGGATAAAGGTTGCGATGGTTGGCAGATTTATAGTATGAGTATTGCTATTTATAATAATTTTTCTTACATTATAAATGTCTGATTTATGATGCACAATATTCTCCATGTTAATACAAAATCCAAAAGATTTATATTATGTGTGGGTCATCGTATTTATGCTTAAGACGTGGGTTGCGATTCTTGCAATCACATAGCAAGGAAAGTGGGACCAACCTCCAAAGAGTGTACTTTGATAACCAGAAGGCGCATGATGCAATTATTGCTATCCAACAGAGTCAAAAAATGGCGGATTTAAGGTAGGGCTGGGCTAGGCTGGGCTCCAGCCCACCCAAAAAAAAAAATTTATTACAATGGGTAAATCTGGCCCCCAAAAAAAAAATTTATTATTAGTATTGGCCCACCCAAACAAGCTCAATATTAAAATAAAGGCCTAATCCAAACAAGCCCAAGCCAAACGGGGCCTAATACATGAACTAGTGCTACGGTCCTAGCCCTCCATTCTTGACAGTAATACTTAAAAAATAATAAATTAATTAATTAATTGAAACGTGAGAATCTTGAACTGCCTAATCTCCTCTGAGTTTGTGGGTCAATGCTAATGAGATAAAAGATGGATGACCACCAATTTCAATACAGTTCCATGGCCATTTTGCATTGAATTATGCTAATCAATCAAAAGAAACACTTAGAATTTTGAATAAAACGCATCAATTTCCAGAGATCAGAAAAGAAAAGTAAGAGCATATATTCATTGGTGAAGGTCTTAATTTATGGAAGCAAAACAGAGAGATTAATGAAGATAATAACAGAGAAAGCACACAAATGGGTTAAGCTGATAGAGAGAGTTGGGAATTGAATTTGTACCTTCTTCATCTGGTAGAAGTTGAGCGACGGATCTAAATTCAGTAAAACAGTTCAAAACCAGAGATACAAAGAGAAGATGAGTGAATATCTTCTTCAAAGTGGTGGTTGACCCTGTGTTGAAGAGAGACTCCATCTTCTCTGCAACTCCAATTCGGCCGCTACATATATAGAGAAATTCAGAGAGAGATGGGGGATGGGATGGTGGTCAAAACGGTGGGTTGGGGGGCAAGGCGGGAAAGAAAAAATGGTAATTGGAACATAGAAAGAAAAAGTAGATTTATTTGAAAGATTGAAATGTTCAAAACCCAAAGAAAGACTTTTGAGAAAGATCAAAAGGAATAAAAGAGGGCACTTGGATTATGTGCACACTGCAAAGTCTCTAATTCGGGGAGTAAAATACGAATAATATTGTATTCAGAATAATAAGGGTCATTACCTACAACAAAATTAGATTTATGTTACATCGCAATTAATTCGATGTGAGGACAAAATGGGACCCCATTTAACGTGATGCGGTACAATTGATTCTCTCCATTAGGAATTTATTCCACTTGCAAACCCTCTACAAATAAAGAGATTTTTATTTTTTATTTTTTATTTTTTATTTTTTACAGTACATGCATTATGTGCTTGCCTCTGCCTTTTAATTAATTAATTATCTCTTTTTTTATGAATATTAATTATCTCTTTTTCATATATAAATAATATACACACAGTAATCTCTCTTGTGAGCAAAAAAAAAAAATAAAACATTATATTCACTTTAACACCATAGAAAAAAATATTGACTTAAGAAAAACACGAAAGTAAAACAAAAATCTAATCATCCAAAACCTTACGACACTAAAAATTAAAACGTGACAACTCACTCATCCTCACATCCGTAAAACCATGTGCAGATTAAAAGTAAAGCAATCTTTGATTGAATTTCATGTATCATGGGTTGATGGACCAGCGCAAACTTTTAGAACTCTCTGCTTATATTTTTACATATCAAAATCTGTTATTGTAAAAGCCTTCAAAATATAAGTCCGTTGTAGAGGCACATTATGAAATTGCGTAGGAGTTCAGTTTCGACTCACCAAATCTCTCTAAGTAAAAAAACAATAAAGACCACATAAAATAGTGACAAATCCGCTCCTACTGAATTTTTTTTTTCTCTATATTTTATATTTTAAATTTTTAAAAATTTATGAAGTTAACTCCATTGAAATTACAAAAATAAACCCATCATATAAATTTTTTCCCACGAATTAAAAAACCACCCCCTCACAAATATAACCAAAAGAATAAAAAAAATAAAATAAATCTATATACTTTCGTCTATGTAAATCAAGGAGTACCAAGACTCCAAAGTCCAAATATCCAAAACAGATTTACCATTCAAATGAAATTATCAAAAAAGGGCAAAAAAAATCATCAAATCTGATATGCAATCGAAGCCAAGAGAGATGGGTTCCACCATGAACTAACAATCTAAACTATTGGAATCCATAGAAAGGAGTAGTGATGGAAAAAAATAATAAGAAGAGTAGCTAAATTCTTTTATTTTTATCAGATTTTTATAATTAAGGTAAAATAGTCACTTTTTTGTTATTTTACCATAATTATATTTAATGGTAAAAAAAGAATGAATAAGTTTCTTAAAATAGAGAAAATAAAAATTAATTAACTAATTGTATTAAAATTACAATTAAAAGTGACTATACTTTCTGCTCATTAGTGAGCGCGGACTTTATATATATATATATACATAATTTTGTATTTATGTAAATTTGCTGAGCTAATTTAATAGATAATAAAATGAAACCATTATTTTTCTTTTCTTAATTTTATATTACTTTGTATATTTTTCCTTTAGTCTATGAAAAGTATGTATAATAAAGAAACGGCAGTTGTAGATGCTACATAGCCATGATGCACTTAATTTCTTCTTTGTGAAGTCATGCACTCAGTTTGAACTTTGAAAATGCATGCACAATTTGAGCCTGAGAATACAGGTGGACTCTCCTTTGTGAAAGCGCTCCTAGCCTTTCCCCAAGAATCCGTCTGAACCACTGGTGCTGGTACAGGTGCCTGCTGAACCTGTGGTTGGTTCCGGAGTGCAGCTGTTACCCCAGCCTCTATAGCCCGAGCAACAAGGTCATTGAGGTGAGGAGGAATCTCTGGATCTCTGACTTGGTCCAGAGTCTGTTGAACATTCTCCTGTTCCTCCTGAAACTGATCCATGTCATCTGGAAACCCAAGCTTTTGTTGCTCTTCCTCCATTTGCTGATGCTGTAGGAGATATTGTTGCCTACGTGCCACTCTCCTTTCTTTCCTAGTTCCTTGCATGTTCTGTCCATTTCTAGCGTTAACCATCTGTTAACACGAAAAGATAGACATCAGTACCATTTCTATACGAACCATAAGGAATACAATGAATCCTAACTTAAGCTCAATTCAAGAGAACGCTACGCGGAAGACTTAATATGAAAACATCCTAGAGACACTTGAACCTGGAGTGCTCTGATACCAACTGTGATACCCCTCGGATCCGAGACACGGGTTGATCAGGCCCAGGCCCAAACCCGAGGGAATATCAAACAATTAATATTTTATAACGAACACGGAATACAAAATGAATTAAGAAATGAAAGTTTAAAGCTGAAAAGAAACTAAAAGATAATCCTTAAATAATTAAATACTTAAATTTGATAAACCAAATATCCATAATTTGAACAACTCGGGAATCCATCTCTAGTGGACCCCTAATAAAAATCTCACACTAAATGAAAGTAAAATGAAAGATAAAACCCAAATCCAAGATCTGGAAAGAAATCCTACATCGTCGGTAGAATGGAAGATCGTCTCTGCTCAGCACGAACAAGCTCAAGCCTGGAACTGACGTACACCTGAAAAATAGGAGTGGGTCAGGCCCACGAACAAGTTCTAACCTACTATAATCCAAGCAGAGACTCGATACGCATGTACATACTAAATAGTTCAACAATAACTAATAATCCGTACATAAATATATCCACACTACTGGACTCTCGCTAGGCCATGAAAGGGGTCTCAACCTGGATAGAAGGCATCACACAATACACACCTGAGTGGGCATGAGTACCTAAACCTAAACAGGGTATACCTCAACCTTCACAGTCAGCTACACATCCAACTGCATATACGCACCCTAACCGTCGACACTGAGACTCAAGCTCATGACACGGTAACATAAAAATATATCTAAACTCCGTTCCTAACCATCCACAAGAAATCCAGTAAGTCACTCGGCGTATTCAACCGTACCGACTTATATATATAAGGAGGATTGTATTTTATAATCCGTGCCCTTACTCCAAAATAGGTAGGACTTAGCAATTTGAGCTAATCCAAACCTAGTATGTCACCGTCCCATACCGGTACATACAATCCAATCCGTCCAATAGTTGATAAAGCATCGATAATAATAACAACAATATCAACAATTCCATACTAAACATAATAGAATGCATTAGCAACCATTCTTAAAAATACCAATAATTGATTCACACTGAAAATATAAATATCAATGTCAACTACTCCTTACTATGCATATTGAAATAGATAATCAACATGCTTATTTACATTCACAGTTGATAAAATAATGACCATATAAATGTCAATACCAACAGTTCCAAACTAAACATGTTAGAACAGATTAACAAACATGCTTAAGTAAGCCAATTCAGAATCCATAATTTGATCATACAGGGCTTTATTTGTAATTATGACCTATTCCCAGTTTCCATAGAATTAACAGAGCCTAAATAGATATTTTCCCACTCAAATCTATAGCATGCAAAATAAATATAAGTAATCTATTATACTTATAGTTTCCTGTCCAACAACTTGACGCACTAACCGTTAAATTTAATCATCAACTAATTTTCAGTGAAATATAAATTTTTAGCATAATTTCTATTTCCATGAACATATAATTCGAGTGGACAAGCTCTCACAGAAAATTTCTAATATAATTAAGAAATTAGAAACTCCAAATCCACACAGTCTACAAGACATTCGTAATTAACTCCATGTAATCCTAATGATTAATGCTTTGTGTCCAATTCTATGTTAATCTGGTCTTTGCATATTTATGTTTACCCTAGACCACTCCTAAACCATCCATTACAGTATTCATTCTCCACTAAAACATATTAAAACAATCACTAGGAAGCCTAATCACTGAAAAGTGGAAAAACAACCAACAGAACCAAAAACCCACGAACAAACAACCTGGAGCCTGCTCCAGAATATTGGAGCCGCCTCCAATGGCCCTGGAGCCGGCTCCTAGACCATTGGAGCCGCCTCCAGTCCAAGGAGAGCCGGCTCCAATCCAATAGGAGCCGGCTCTCTCCCTCCTCTTCTTCGTGTTCTCCTCTCCGGTCGCCGTTTACGCCTCCGACACTTCACAGTATAGGTTTTCAGAGAGTTTAACTTAATCCCAGAAGATTCCAACCCTTAACTCAGTCCTTATTATGCTACTAATATGGATTAAACCAAGAATTAAACAAGAAAGTTCAAAGTTAAACAGTTTACAATTTTTAAACCAAATTCAGTTTCAGTTACACTCTAAACATGAAACAGATAGCGTTTTTATTTTTAAACATGTAATTCATCCTGGAACCATTGAGTACGCAAAGCACACGAGTATAAGGGAGAGAGTAAGGTTAGAACTTGCCTTTTGAGATTTTTGTTAAAAATCTCTACGTTGTCTTCTACGATCTTCGACGATTCCTCCTACAGCTTCCTCTGTTCCTCGTTTCTAATTCCACAGACGTGTTTTGGTTTTATTATTTTTTTTCTCCTAAGCAGACTTATCTTATATATTTATAGGCAACCAAAACCCTAAGTCCAATTACATCTAAAGTCTGAAACGCGGCCCATAAACACAACCTAGTTTATACCCTGTCGGCGCATTAAATTAAACCTAAACAGAACTAAACCCTAACCACACTTTTATACCTAATCATAAATTAAAACATGTAATTACTAATTCAATTAAAGAAACAATAAAATTCCAAGTTAATGTAAAACAGAAAATAACATACAATGTACAGAAAATTGAAGCCAAATAAATAATTAAAACAATTAACTTAAATAATCACAATTATGTAAATAATTCAAATAATTAGTTAAACCAAAAAAAATAAATAAACCAACTAATTAATTCAAATAACACAAATAAGTCAAGTAAATCAATTCAAAACAATTAATGAACCCAAAAACAATCAATGAACAGAAAAACAATTAAACAAAATACCGAGACTATCCTTTTGAAAATTAGGGGTATTACATATCTCTCAGTACATATAATATTTCAATTACCAGATTTGTTGTTTTTATTAAATTGCGTGCCCTGATT